ACACAGTACACTTGTGGTGCTTATACACTATACATGTTAAAGTTTCCAGCTTTAATGTTCATAAGTTGGGGATTTACTGTATTTACTTGGAGGGAAGTAAAGTACAAAGCATAAATGAACTTCTAAAATTTGAGGCAGCATTAAAATGTTCATCCTTTGTGTTAGTTAATATCTTAGTATATATGAGAATCTGTCATACAGCATTTATACAAGCTATTTGTAGATTCTAAACCATGTATTACCCATATATACAACATTATGCAGTATATCTTTTATTCCTCATAAAAAGTGATTCACATTTAGGCTGTTCATTTATGAAACACCTTGTCTGTTATTGAAAACTCATAGTCAATTAATATTAGTTTCTAAGAAATAATTGGAACTTTAACTATAAAATGCAGTAAATAGAAGGTAAATCAAAGTTATTTAGATAGTTTCAGTCCTGAAAGAGGTTTCAGAGAGTAGACTAGCTTCTCAGTTTTTCAGGGAGGAAAGAGAACCAAAGAAATCACGTGACTCACTTGGTCAGCAAACCCACCTGGCCTCTTGGCCTCTTGGCCCGTTGTTGCTCACTCAGCCGTGTCTCATGCTGTATCTGTGCTTGGAACTGGGAACTGCTGTTGTCAGTGTCTCTTAAATACTAACCCTGTTTTTGAAATTCTTCAGGAGATAAGTATTATGACTTCCTGCACGATAGAAACAAGACACCTTCTAGAAATAAGAAATCACCTTTTTAAAAAATAAGTTTTAAGATGAAATTATCAGACTTTTCCAAGAGAAAGATATACTTAGTGTTAAGTATTTGTAAAGGTCAATATGATATGATAGTTTTATAATAGAAAGCTTACGAATTTTTATAGGAAACATAAAGAAAATTTTTTGTTTGTAAACAAAAATTTTATCTCTTTTATATCTAATTTTTTTTTAAAAAGTTTTAGTTCTGCTGAGACTTTTCACTTGACTTAGTATCGTGGGCTTCTGGCTTTTTGTTTTCAGAAAAAAATGTTTTTTTAAAAAACTAGTTTCAGTATAAAGCAAACCTTAGTTTTAATAGTACTGACAAGCCATGAGATTTCCAAAATGGCCTCATTTTTCTCAGTACTTAAGACTTGCTAATTTATTTTCCAGTTTCAGCAAATGTGCTGAGACTTTTCTTGTTCCTTTTTATGATACTGACTCTTAATTACAAAATAAGCAGCTGTGGTTTGCAAGTGGTGGATACATTTGGCAGTTGTTTTTATGGGGACAGAAGGAGACATCTTGTAGAAAATTTCCAGGCTGTTCATTTCAGTAGGCTTTTTATCAGGTGGAAAATTATGAAGCACCTGGTACTTGCTATTTTTGCCTTTAGCAGATGACAATTCATCATAAAATTAAGTAGCAATACATTGTAGGCTTTGTATAGCAAGTGCAGTCTCATTTACTGCAATTACTTCAAAAATGTCCTACAGGTTTTGACTAATAGAGCTAAATTGGTAGCAAACACTGAGGTGATGACCTTTGGTAAGAATCATCTAACTTCAGATTATAAGGTAATATTTCTTTATTTCTTCATGGAATGCCAGTGATTAGCCCAAAGCAAGATTACAGAAGGAAAACATCTTGTTGGCATGATCATGATAGATATTTTTCTAAAAGAAAAAAGTAGGCAGGTTCTCTATGAAAGCAGATGTTCAACTAAGTTAATAAGATTAGGTTATTCGGTCCAGATTTGAATTTCACAGTTCTAAGCAATACAAAAATTTTCTTGGGCTGGGGATTTAACTCAGTGGCACAGCGCCTGCCCGGCAAGCGTGAGGTCGTGAGTTCGATTTCCGGTACCGGAAAAAAAAACCCCCCCCAAAAAAAATTCGTAGGGGATGTACCTTACATATAAGAGTGTAGACATTCAGGAGTGTCTGATTATTAGTATGTTTTAAACAACTTACTGTAGATTCTATTTCTGGAACTTTTATATCATCTCTTTAAAAATATGATTGAGAAGATTCTTAAAGAGCTTTTTGATTTATGACTATTCATGAACCAAGTTTGAAATTTCATGTCTTTCTGACACTAATAGTCTAAGATAATTTTTTCCCCCTTTTTAAGAGACTTCCTCCTCCCAAAGTCACATTCTTCTGGGTTCTGTGAACTTTTGTCTCTGACAGCAGAACACCTTATAACTGGTTAAAATTCAACTATCAGAATAGGGTTTTGTGAAAGACCTGGGTAACCAGATAAAAAGCATTTGTGCATAAATGTACACTTGCCAGTTTTCATTCCCATAGCAATGTGAAATAGGCTGGATATCTTTCTCCTTGCCTCTGGGCATGTGGAATATTTCTTCTGGGTCAGAGTATTGTACCCAGCATCATCTGCCTTAACAACCCTAAGCAACAGATGGTGAACAAGTTCATTTCTCCTTTGGGAGTTCAGGGGCTCTAGGACATTTTCCAGATCACTTTTAACATGCTTCATGGAGAAATTAGTGTACTAAGTACTGTATATAGTTAATGTAGTTGCAAGCTTCAAATCTTGTCCATACAGATTGGAAAGTACCACAGGGCAAATATAAATTCAGAGACATTGGTGCCAATGAAAATGTGACCTCCAAGAAAAATGGTTATCTAGTGTCACCAAAATAAAAAAGAACTTTAATAGCCAGAGTTTAAAACTCCATTTCCTACTTTGTTTATCAGACATGTAGATCAGGCTGTATCTTAGCCTATCCCTTTATGAATACCTTTTGAGAATAAAATATAAAAGCTTAAAAACCTCATCCAGGAAATTTCTTTTCTCTTAAAAGACAAATCCGGGACACAGTGAATTGGATTTTCAGTGAACAAATGCTAGTGTACTACATTAATGTTTTCCGAGATGCTTTCTGGCCAAATGGGAAATTGGCACCACCAACTAGAATCAGAAGCAAAGCTCAAAGTCAAGAAACAAAACAGAGAGCGCAGCAAAAACTACTTGAAAACATTCCAGGTGAGGCCCCAGGGTTTTACCGAGATAAATAGGGTATTAAAATGTTTTTCATTTATATTTATCAAAAACTTTAATTTTTTAAAAGTCACACTTTTCTTTTAAGCCATTTCTTATCACTTGCTAAAATGTTACACAGAATCTTAGTAAGAACTTTTAACTAGGAAAGTATTTTACAGCAAATATATTTTGTGCTTTAGAGATAGCCTAAAGTATGTTGTAAAATGTTAGTAATATGGTAAAAACATTAATTGTTAAAACCAGCAGTAGCAATATATTGAGAATATAGTTTCTATAAATGTCTCATATTGGGAAATTCTGAAAAACATTTCTCTTTTTAAACATTTGTCCATTCATGGCCATTTATGTTCCTTATGCCTCTGCTCAGTGCCTTTATTTTCTGTGTATGTGTCATGTAATGACCCTCTCACTGATTATGTATTTTGTCAGTGTCAACATAGAATAAAAACTTAAAATTTCAGGGCTGAGGCTGTGTCTCAGTAGTAAAGCACTTGCCTAGTGTGTGCAAGTTCTTGGATTTGATACCCAGCAAGACAAAAATGAAAAACGTATTTTTTCAGATACACTTCAGAGCCTTCTTGGACAGCAAAATGCCCGCCATGGTATAATAAAAATATTCAAGGCACTGCAAGAAACAAGAGCCAATAAGCATCTGTTATATGTGAGTAAATTAAAGCCTCCTCCCAAAGGATGAACTCTTTCTTGGATTTTCTATTGCTTTTCACATATTGCAGGAAATGTTAATGCTTTATATTCATAATCACTCATTACTTAAAACTCTGAACCTGTTTTCACTGCTTCATTTTGTCCATTTGGTTAAAAAGAAAAAATGTATGCATACATACACCCACTCATGAATGTAGCAGTCTCATTCCTGGATGCCAGTTGCCTTTCTTGACTTCTCATGCAACATTTCTGCACAATTGTTTGATGTTTGTGACAGAGCAAACTTTTCCCATCTTTCTGATTATAGTATGGTTTAATGTGGTTAATAGACTATGATAAATGGCTTATATAATATTCCCGTAGTTACTTTAGTGAGAATAATCTCAGAACTAAAATTAGACTTTTCTTTTAGACATACTTATTTTCACACTCTTGGATTGGGGGGAAACCACAGCTTTCTGTTTTTTTTTCCTTTACTTCTGTCTTGGTGCAGGTGCTGATGGAACTGCTGCTAATTGAGCTGTGTCCTGAGCTGAGAACTCATTTAGATCAACTGAAAGCTGGTCACCTTTGAGCTGCACAAATAAACCACCAGAGAAATGTCTGTGTCATAATAGACATGAAACATTTTCCTCTTTTCCACAGAGGGCTTGACTGAGAACCGTACTGATTTTTATTTTAGTTATATCCCTCTAGTTTTATGTCAAATAAGCAGAATTGAGGGGAGGGTGATTTGATGCTATCATAGGCAACAGGGAAAGAACTTCTGTTCATTGATTTTTATTTAAATAATATAAATACTTTAAAGTTCAACATACTGATAGAAAAAAAAATGTTAATATGTGCTAAGAACCTAGAAAATATTTTAAATATTTATGAAAACAGTTTTGTTTTAAAATGAAGAACTATGAATCTTGTACAGTAATTTCTTCCCTGATGACTCGGAACATTCCTATATTATTTCTTGTGTATTGAAGAACATTGTTGTGCAATGCTTTGTGTAAAGTTATTGTGAAAATTTTATTCTCTTTATTTTTACCAAAGATTTCCCATAGTTTGAAGCATTTGAAGCAATAAAATATAAAAATGAATCACAGTGGTCCTGTGATGTTTAAGATGCTTAAAAAAAACCAACACTTGGGCCATTCAAATAGCTATGTGTCTTTTTCTTTGGCAGAAAAACACTGTCCACTTAAGTAATTCTATAAGGAAGTAAAAAGTTTGCTGCCTTTCACCAGACACAAAATAAACACCTGAAATATATTACTATTTTAGTGCGCGAAAAGAGCCAAATTAGTGCTTGGAGGCATTAGATATGAGCTAAACCTTGAAAGAATGACACAAGGAAACAGAAAGAAGAGGAAAATTATTTCAGGGAGCTTAAAGACTTCAGGGAGCATCAAGTCATATAGCGTACAAGGGGCATTAGGAGAGGTCCAGTGTACAGAATTCTTGTTGTTGTTATTGATAGTGGGGCTATGAACAAGGCATTCAGTCAGTTTTCTGGGCTTTCTCATCTGTTAATGCAGTGATAAAATACCTTCCCCATTCTGGTCCCTAGAAATAGTGGGGAAAAAAAAAAAAAGTTAAAAGGTGAAAATTCAGTTTGATTCCATAAAAGAAAAATACTAAATATATTAAAATATAAAGGAGATTATTTTATTGATAGCTCATACCTGCCAGGTTCTTGGTAAGAAACAAGTTGTGAAAGGTAAATGATTAAAACTTAGTATGCCAAATTTTGTCTTTGAGATTCTTCTAAATTACAGCTCTTTGACTATAACTAGTTATTTGACACTTAAACCAAAGCTGGTTATTTATATGCATTAGAATTATCCTTTAAAGGGCTACTGAAAAGACCTTGTGAAGGTCTTTTGAGTTGCCAAGCCCAAAGAACTCATCATAACACAGTTAGGGAAAATGTCTCTCTCAGCATAATTCTATGCTATTATTTGAACTGCAGTTGTTAAGTTTATACTGCAAATGACAAAAGTATTCTGGCTTCTCAATATTTCTTTATAATAAATTTTCACTTTTTCTTGAGGTAACAGCCATATTAAATCTTACAGAAGTTTGAAATTTTTTTAAAGACTAACAATCTGGAAGCTTCAACTCACTTGAATTAAAGATTACCTCCACTGGGGCTGGGGATTTAGCTCAGCGGCAAAAGCACCTGCCTGGCAAGCGCAAGTCGTGAGTTCGGTTCCCGGTACCGGAGAAAAACCAAAGAAGAAAAAAAAAAAAAACAGATTACCTCCACTCACAGATCAAGGTTTACACTGCTGTCTGCAGATGGTAGAAGTGTACAGGTGCCAGATTATCAGCTTTACAGTATAACTGCAGTAAATAAATTTTAAATTCTGTGTTGGGATCATAGGCATACCATATTACCACATATTAAATTCCTGATTAGGATTTCTGAGAACTGTATTTTATTGATTCTTTATTGTTTTTACTCTACTGAGGACTGAATCCAGGGTCTCCTCCATGCTAGGCAAGCGCTCTCCCACTGAGCTACATCGCTGGCCCTGAGATCAAGTTATGAAGGTCTAGTGATACAAGCAAGCCAGAACATAAAACAGAGCAAGTAATCTTCTGCTGTAGAGCAGCTCTAGTGAGTCACCTGCATATTACTGTCATACCTTGGTACTTGACTACTTTGAAACTTGTTGAATTTAGTACTCAAGACCTTTTGACAAAAACATTTTGTGCCAGTATTCACTGGTTTAGTACTCTACACACAAGCTAGAGTGTGTCAGTGTGGATTGAATTGCCTCATGACTTCCTGCCCTTCTCAGCCAAAACTGTTTGTTTGGTACTCATTCTTGGTGCTTGTCTTGCCTCCTGGATCCAGTCACCCATGTGTAACTGGTTTTAAAAAATTCACAAAATTAAATACAGGTACTACTCTATTTTCCTACTACTAAGAAAAGACCCTGTTTAAATCCACACACAAAAAAGGATATCGCGATTTATGAACAAAAGCTGTATCAGCTTAATATGTTTACCAAAAAAAGGACACTTAGGTTTTAAGACATCACCTTCATTTGCTTCATAAATGTGCACTCGTTACACCTAACACCCAACTGCCCAGCTTGAAGTATTTTCTTAAATCCACTTTTTTAAAAAGTTTATAGTGAATATTAGAATCTTTCAGCTTTAACAACTTGAAAAGTAGAACTGCTACATTTTATCAAAAATGTTATTTGACACTTCTGATTCTTTAAATTTCTTTGACCTGTGTTTAATTTTGTGAATTTTTTAAAAAAAAAATTTATTTGTTTTAAAATTTTTATTTGTTTTTGTTTTGGTCTTTTTGAGATAGGGTTTCACTGTGTGGTTCAGGCTGGCTTTGCACTCACAGCGATCCTCCTGCTTTAGCCTCCCAAATGCTGGGATTACAGGCATAAACCACCATACCTAGTTCTCAAACATTGAATTCTGATGACTCTTCAGTGTCAAGGCTAAAGAAAGCATACAGGCTGAAATCTAAGTCTCAGGAGCTTTGGTTACAGGTGCGCACCAACATGTCTGACCTTTCATTTTTCTTAGTACATGTTTTGAGTATAGTATGATTGTATTCATCACGGAGAGTTGGTGTGGGTACGTAACACATCTTACTTCTTTTTATGTCCCCTTCTCCCGCCCTTCCATTTCTTGGACCCCCTTTCCCATTTGCAAAAGATCTTATCTCCTATTTCCTCTTCAAATGTTTAAATGACTGAAGGAAAAATTTAGAACTAACAGTGTGTTATTCAAAATTCACAAAACTAGCTGGGTATGGTGGTTCATGCCTGTAATCCCAGCACTTGGGAGGCTGAGGCAGGAGGATCACTGCAAGTTCAAGGCCAGCCTGAACTACACAGTGAGGCCCTATCTCATCAAAACAAAACAAAAAATTCACAAGACTAAAGGTTATAGCTTTTACACCTTGAGCCTTAATAAACTAGAAGTGCTAAATCTTATGTTTAAGAAATGAAAATGATACTCGCATTTTGAATGGTTTCAAATTTAATCGAGTCTAGGCGCTGAATAGGCCAGGAAGGGGATCTCTGAGGACTCTTTAGCAATCTGATCCTGTGACTAGGTTTCAGATTGTAAAATTTACAGTACACAAATGACAGTAACATATCATCTATTAAATACCCAGGTTAATGTAACTTGGAACAGACAGTAAAAGTCAGATGCTATAAAAATACTCACATTATATAGTGTTAGGATTCATGATCTTTGTTGAAATGCAATGTGATCTAAATTTTCTGATGAATAACCAAAGAGTGAAGTTCATTTGCCAGTGCAGGATTCAATTTGCAAGCCTTAAAAATCAAAGAGAGTTAGTTATTTAGATACATTCTAATTGTCTAGGTCTTTTTCCTTTTATCTGTTTTTAAGACTAGTACAGTACAGTGAATTTCAGGAAAATTTCTTAAGATACTTTTCTGATTTCCTACAAGAAATAAGGAAATTTCAAATTTAACCTATGCAAAATAGATCATACATTATTATTTAAAAGAGGTGAAATTTTATCTGAACCAAGAGAAAGGGTATTTAAACACTAATGGTACCATTATATGTTATGAATTATTTAGGTAAAATGGAAAGCATTAATATTTGGCCTTACTTGTTGTTCATCTCATACATGAATAGCATCTATAATTTAATTTAGAATATATAGTTTTGTTCTGCCTACAGTAGTAATAAGATGCATAACTTCTTGGAAGTCAGGAATATGAGTTGTATCTTCTTCAAACTCACCTTTTGCAGAAATTTCTCTTTGGTACCCAGGACAGTTGGTCACTAGGTACAGCATTTGCTTGGTTGCTTCTAGTGGCCGGAAGTTACTAACGTAGAAAATTTTTGTTTCCCAAAGTTTTATTGGAACATTCTTCCTTATTTTAAACTAAGGCTCCCCTCCATGCACTTTAGAATCATTGAGAGGTTCTAGGAAAACATATAATATGTAGAAACCCTAAGTATAGTAGCTGGCAAAGTCACCCAGCCTGCAGTAGCAGGGCTGAGACCAGGCATGGATCTCATGACCTTAGGTCTGTGGATGACCATGCTGTTGTCCTCCCTTTTCCCATAACCCACCATTGTTATCCCTAACTGTGCTCCCTCACCCCCAGTTCCTGTTCTATAGGACACTATTTGTTCTGTAACTATCAGTCTGTCACTGTCGGGACCTCCCTTTTTTTCTCTTGTTCTAAATGAAGCATTCTCTATTTTTCTTCTTATGCCTCACATGACATGATTATTCCAGACCCTTCACTCATTTATTGCCTCGTTTTTCTCCATTTTATCAGTATTCCATAATATGCAGTTGCCAAATTAGAGGCTATATTCTAGAGTCATCTTATTAGGACAATAATGGTACTATTGCCTCCTATTATATGGAAAATAGTTCCAACACTGCGATCTGTTTTGTTGCTTTTTCAAGACATATAACAACCTTTCAGGATATTTTATACCCAGAGTTTTGTGTGCTAGTATTTAGAATTCTAAGAGTAGTATTAAAATTGACTGTAGAGATTGGTATAATTTAGAAAGTATTTAGAATATTTTTAAAGTTAACAGAGATGACTTCGCTCATTTTTCCTATCAACAGAACAGTGTGGCAGTGAATATCCCAAAGGTCATTGTATTTGGTTTTGTACTGTGTTCCTGTATTTATGTAATGATTTTGGTACTTGGGAAGTTTTAATTTCAAACACAGTACCTAAATTTGCGTGCACTTTAGGGTCCCCTGGGGAGCTTCAGCACATATGCATGCTTGCGTCCCACTCTTAGGGTCTGTGATTTCATTCTTCTAAAATCAAGCCTAGGCTGTGGAATTCCCAGGTGGTTTTAGTACACAGGCCAGTTTAGGACTCACTGCTGTAATACCAGATCCAGGCACAATCCTCAGAAATAATTATTCCTTGCTTTGTTCCCCTGGCTCAAGCTGAACAATTTGTGTGCTATAAGAATTGCTTTATACATTTTATTACCATATATTTCTAATGTGGACTCGACTCATGTATAGTTTTTTGGGTTTTCTTTCTTATAATTACTATTCATAATGCTCCTCCAACGCCATGCACTGGCCTTTTAAATTTTTCTTATTGGTGGTGTTCTTGTTTTGTTTTGCTGTAGTGGGAAATGAACCCAAGATCTTTGCATTGAGCTACATCCCTTTTCAAAATTTTTTACTTTGATTGATTGATTGATTGATTGATTTTGAGATAGGTAGTCCCTAGTAGTCCAGCCTGGTCTTGAACTTGTAGTGATCCTCCTACCTCAGCCTCCCAAGTGCTGGCATTACAGGAGTGTGCCCCCACACTCCAGTATTTTTTACTTTAAAACAGGGTGTCAGTAAGGTGCCCAGGCTGGGCTTGAAATTGCAATCCTCTTGCCTTAGCCTCCCAGAGTGCTGGGATTACAGGTGTGTGCCACAGTGACCAGTGTAGAGTTGCTTTCTTTTAGATGAGAAATCTGTTTGGGATCTAAATAAAGTTACCACATGGGCATGAAAATGTGCTGGGCATGGTGGCACATGCCTGTGATCCCAGCACTCAGGAGGCTGAGGCAGGAGGATCTTGCAATTCTGATACCAGCCTGGGCTTCAAAGTGAGTTCAAGGCCAGCCTGAACTGCATAGTGAGACCCTGTCTCACAAGAAAAAAAAGAAAAGGTAACAATTACTTGAAATCATGTATATTCCTCCAAAGTATAATACATTAAACTTTTAAAAAATTATATTTCATTAAGATACTAGAATGAAGATACAGGTACACATTTTTTTTTTCTACGTGAAAGACAGGAACTTTTGGCTTGAAGGTCTTGGTGCTAGGCCTTAGGTTATAGATGGCTATAGATTTGAAGACTAATTTCCATCAAAATAGGACTTTTTGTCATCTGAATGTAATTACGCTAATAAGTTATCAGAATTGTCTGCAAACAATCTGCATCCCCAACAGCCTCTTTGTAGACAGGTTATCTGCTCAGTAATTAAGAAAAAACAATAATCCATGAAGTTCAAGCTTCCGAGTGAAAGCCTAGCAATTTCTGTTTGGATGAATTTCTACTTTACTCTAAAGCTTACTTTAGAATAATAGTGTTTAGCTGTTGCTTCGTCTTTTGTGATGCCCAGGCCAAGCTGAAGACACCGTGCATAGTAGAAGGACGCCATGGCTATGCCTCTGTTGACGAACTCTGGAAGACAGTCCGTGACCTGGGCTATCATGGGGATATCATGAACCTCATCATAGTCAGCCATCCTGATAGAACATCAAATTGTGAAATAGAAGACATCAGTTGGGGTTTACATTTTTACAAAATGATGTGTTTAGAAATTATCCTTCTGCTCAAAGTGCTATGTCTTTATCCCTTTGAAAACCAAGTTTTATATTGTGTGTGAAGGGTTCAGGGAACAAAATCTGCTAATACTAGAGGAAGATGAAGAGGTTACTTGACAGCTTCCCTATGATCCTACCTATCAGGCTTAATAACCATTACACAACACACAACAAATGGTATTTTTCTTGTAATATTAGTATTTTATCATCATTTTGTGGACTTAAACTGAATGAGGAAAGTAGAATTTATATTTCTTTGGATCAAATATTGAAACATTAACTTTATAGTCAACATAGAATTAGAAAACATGAAAAACTAGCACATCTATCTTCTTTAAAAATAAGCAATAAAAAAAAGCTATCTTTTCTAACCTAGACACAAACATGGAGAATTACGTGAAATGAGATTTGCTAACTCTGTGTTGACCACGTTAGGGAGAGTAGGCATGTGGAAAACAGTGCGCAGTCCCAAAGATTTTAAAGAACTATTTAAGTCTTAGTTTTAACCAGGATCGGCACTTGGTTGGGAATGCTGAAATCCCCCTTGACGCGGCCTGCTGAGGCGGGGGAACAGCTCCTCCTTGCCTTCATCCTCTCAGGTGCTGCCCTCCCCATGCCAGGAGAAGGGACCAGTGTGACTTGCCTAGTGTGAGGACAAATAACAACAAAGTATGTGGAGCCTGTGGACTCAGAAAAGTTTGCATATATTTTAAAAGAAGATAAGTGTCAATCTTTTTATTTTATAGCCATCAAACTATATTTCCATTGTGTAGTATAGAATATATATATATAGATAGATATGATATAGGCAGAAACTGAGGCTGAATAGATGTTTCTGATATGTCAGTGTATGTTAAATGTTTTATATATGTTTTTTATAATCCTATAAAATATTTTCTTGGAAAAAAGTAATTGATGTTTTTAAAAGGAAACTTTTTTGTGAGGGGATGGGGATCTCACTATGTAGTTTGGGCTGGCCTTGAACTTCCTAAGTACTGCAGGCAGACCTCAAACTCGTGGTAATCCTCCTACCACAGCCTCCCAAGTGCTGGGATTACAGGTGTGTGCCACCACACCTGGCTTTAAAAAGGAAACTTGCTTCAGCTAATAGCACTGAAATTATAAAGGTTAACAGCATAGGGTTGTACCATCCAGTGTGGTAGTTAGTAGTCATATGTGGCCGTTCAAGTTCCAAAGTTTAGTTCTAAGTTACATTAGACTCACAGTTAGTGTTCAGTGGCCACCATTCTCAACATCTCCAGAAAGTTTCATCAGACAGATCTGGCACAGAATACCTAGTAGTTGTAAATACTTTCATCCAGCTTATTTAAATCTTACTGATGTAGCTTGTGTCCCCGGCAAAATTCAGGTGTTGCTGGTGTGACAGAATTAAGAGGTGGGTCCTTGGAGATGTGATTGGGTCATAGGGCTGCTCCTCAGTGGGTGAGACTAAACCCTCACCCCTGATTTCAGCTCCTTTCCCTTAGCACTCTGACTTGTGAGGACACAGTGTTCCTCCCCTTGCAGGGATGCAGCCCTCGCCAGCCAACTGAACCTGGACTTCCCAGTCTACAGAACTGTGAGACACAAGTTTCTATTCATGACCTAATCTGTGGTGTTCGGTTATAGCAATACAAAATGGACTAGGAAGTCACCTTTTGGAAAACGTAACACACTTTGTAAAGAACTTCATCTTGTAGTAATACTCCACGAGATTCCCTTGTGCGTAGATGTTCCCGCGCTCTGCAGCTTCCCTTAGGCACTGCAGGGCAGCTTCAGTATCCTGGCGGATGCCTTGTCCATAAAAGTACATGAGGCCAAGCGCACCCTGGGACTCCAGATTCCCATTGCCACATGCTTCTGAATGCCAATAAAATGCCTAACAAAGAGCAGAACTGCATCATTTTATTATTCACAAATGAAATTACAAAGGAATATTGGAAAGAAAAAGCTCTCATTATAAGATAGGGCTGGGGATTTAGCTCAGCGCACAGTGCCTGCCTGGGAAGCGCAAGGTCGTGAGTTTGATTTCCGGTACCGGAAAAAAAAAAAAATGACATAACAGGAATTGCCAGGAAATAGTTCCAGCCCCAAATGTATCTCACACTGCACTGCATACATAAGTGAGAGTGCCCAGGTGGGTCCCGTGTCTACCCACTTGCTGGTGAGGTCACAGGTAAGAGAGTTGGGGAGAGGAGGACCAGCTTTCCTAAGTTTCGGGCTTCTCTAACTCTCCAAAGTAAGGGTGAGAAGGTGCAGCAGGGGGAAGAAGAGCTGCTGATACTGAGGAAGAAGAAATGCGGGCTCTGGGGGACCCCAGACGGCGGCTGCCAAGATCAGAGACGCCAGGATGAGAGGTGTAGGTAGGTTAAGCGCAGTAACAACGTTCAGCTGTGGTAAGTCTGAACACGTTTTACAAATTACTTCCAATTTCAGTTATTGGGAATCATCTTAATTATCATCTGCCTTTTATAATTTGCCATTAACTCCTCTCACAATTCCTTCTTGCTGTAGTTTTGAAAAATGTTCCAATCACTAGATTATATTTCAGTGAAAATCTTAAATAGATTTGACTTTTAAATAATTCTTGGTATGTTTCACTCATTAGTATCATATACTCCTAAAATCAAAGGTAATATTAATTATTCATACTTAAAAAGAATTGGGGCTTAACTTCAGGACTATCCCTTTTGTTTCTGCATTCTGTATAATCCCTTGTATGTATAATCTTTTACTGTATGCAAAATATTCTCATTATCTCTGGTGTCTTTTGGGAGAGGTAGGGAAGGTAGTATTTATTGATAAGTAAAAGGTGTTTAATGAGCTAAACTACAAACTTTACACTTTTATGGAAATATAAAAGATACTCAAAAGTCTATATTTACTCCCCACCACTGTCTTCTAAAAAAATAGTGAAATATTAATTTAGATATTCTGAGCACTGAAAAGAAAAAGAGCAGTGTTACCTTTTCTAACTCTTTGGGTTCTTTTGTTGAATAATACAGTCCTAAGATACTCTGAGCCTTCACACTAGCTTTGGGGTTGCCATTGTCTGCAGCAAAAAGCCACAATCTAAAAGAGAAAGCAGGGCAACGTATTCTTTGTTTCAGCATTTCAATAGAACAAAATTTTGTTTTCAGGTAAGGTTACCTTTCAGCTTCCTCTTCTGACCGTTTAACACCTTTTCCTTCGTAATAAGCTCTTCCAAGGTTAAAGGCAGCAGCAAATTTTAAATGTCTTGCTTTGGGGCAGGGAGAATCAAGAATTCTCTTCATATAGTCCACTCCTTTTTCCTTCCACAAAGGAAAAGAACAAACAAAAACACCTTAAGTTCTATCCAAATTGAATGTCTTTGTTCTAATAATGTACCATATTTATCTTCTGACATGAATACATAATATCACATCATGAATCTATACTTAAGGGCTATGATTGTTCTGGATTCCTCTAAGTAAACATAAGGAGGGAAAAATTAATAAAAGTACATTTGCTGACCAGGCATCTCTAGGAGGAGCTCCGAGGTAGGAAGATGTTCATTTTATAGCTTCCAGAATTGCACTGAGAATACAGTCCAAACTCGAGGTCATTGTTTCCCAAATACAGTTGAGGTCTGCCTGTCTCACTCCTTGACTGTACTCCCACTATACTATCCTTTCTATTCCTCAGGCCTTAGAACTAGCTATCTGTTCTGCTTACATGATTATCTTTGACTTACCCAAGCTCCTTCTTGCTGCTCCGTTCGTAGTTCATCATATCCTCAAAGTAACCTTCTCAATCGGCAGCAAGAGACCTTTCCAGTCTAACGTGGCCTTTTTAGCCACTTTCTTATATCATCCCATTTCATATTCTTCACAGCTCCTGTTCTTATCTGATGCCATCTAATTCATTATCTTTCCTCTAACAATAGCTTTGTCGCTGCACTGCAGTCTCTAGTGCTTAGAAAAGTTCTAGGCTCACATCAAGTCCTCAAGAAAGATTTGTTAGAAGAATGAATGGCCAATCATTCTGGAACAGTGCATGTGCCTCTGAAGGATGTGACATGGGGAAGACAGAATGGAAAAAGACTAGTAGCTTATCGGTGACATACTGGTTCATATGCTCAACTTGGCTGAAGAGGATGCCAGACAAGGAGAAAATGGAGAGCAAAGGAGTAGACTAAAAGGCCAAAGCCCTTGTTTGTTACTGCAGTGAGGAAACAAAGAGACCTAGAAGACTAAGGATGTGGCCATATGGCACGGGAGTTTTAAATTTTTTATGTGGAATAGGTCAGGTAGTAATAGTTTAGGCGATGGCCACGCACTAACAGCTGAGATGGAGTGAAGGCTAGAGATACTGGAAGTGCACTGGGTATGTAAAGGAGCTCTAAGTCCTCAGGGACACTGAAGTCAGATGGAATGTTGGACAGACATGAGGGAAGCTAATCTCAGAGCTGAAGCCTTCAGATTAGAATCCATACTAACCACAGCTTAAGCTACCACTATTTTCCCAGGAAATTTCAACATGTGTTTATGTGCACTTCTTTTAAATACCTTTAATGAGCCATTTACACTTTCTGCTGTATCACTTGTTATAAGTAAAGGACATATGTACTCCCTTTTAACAGAGAAATTTACCTTTAACCAAGAAAATTACATTTGTTTGGTGGGCACATTGATTATAAATTTTTAAAATTTTTACATTTTATATTTTCCAGCATATAGGAAAGTGGAAAGAATACATAAATATTTTTGCAACTACTATATTGATTCTCAGCAGTAGTATTTTGCTGTATTTGCTTCATCTACATTTTTATCTAACCTGTTAAGCTACCAATAAATATGTAACTATCAGAAAATTTCACCCCTTAATATTTCAGGATCCCATACAAAGATGATCTTCTTCTGCATAAGCAGTATACTACAATCCCTTCTAATAAAGTCAATCTTTTACTTCTTGGGAAGTAACATTTTTAAAGATTTGTTTCCACAACTTCAATTGGTGTTGCACTGTGATTTGTCCTTCAGTCCTTTCATGTTTGACTAATGAAATGTTTTCATAACTTTTTGAGATACAGTTTATGTGCCACTACTCCTGTAACATTCCTATTGTACTTTTTCCTTGTCAGGCCTTGAAATTTAAGAATTTCTTTATTACTTTATTTTTGTGTAGCAAATACTTTTCTTTGGTTCCAAATATTTTTTTGAGGGGGGCACTTATTAGTTGCTTGATAAATTTAAATGGTGGATTCCTTTGGCTTTTTGTAAATTCTTTATGGTCGAATTGTGGATATTTAAAAGGACATAGCTGTGAATGTTATTTTACCAGTATTATAATTTTGTAAGCACTTATTTCTAAATTTTATGCTAAATAATTCTACAACGTATGGTGGTTTAGTCTTGATACTATATTTTTTTAATCTTAAAGAGAAAAAAGATAAACGTAACAGAGAAACTGAGTTTCAAAACAGATTAGTAGGACAGTTACAACAGCTGATACATTGCATACTGTTGTCTTCCCAGTAGTTATTCAGAGTACAAGATATAGGTATGGTATCTTGTCCAAACAGTATTAGCACAAAAACTTTCTTTTCAATGAACTAAGAGAAACTATCTGTAGTCTTGATACTATTTAAATGTAACCAGGAGATCACTGAGTTTGCACAAGTAAGTATAAAACCAATACTTTAATATGATTTTCACTCTAGAGAGAAACTTGGAAATTTCATTGGAACTGTGTCTAGGAAAAGAACATGTTATGGCATTAACTTCCAGAAGAAATATGTACCTCCTGCATAATTTCTTAGTCTTCCTTTACTTACCTAATTCCCAATTCATTTTAACAGTCAACCAACTAATCTCTCATCATAGATATACTAATAAATAACAAAGAAACAAGTAGCATGGTCATAGAGTATCTGAAAAAGTTTTGAGACATTTAAAAATATTTTTTAAAAGGCACATTGGGTTTTATAATAACATTGGTCTAAACACAATATACTCTTAAAATGTAGCAGATCAAGAAAGTCAACTGGATAAAATAATTACAACACTTTCAGTCTTAACTGAATTTGCAAGCAATATTATTTAATATACCAAAACATCTGGAGAGTATGAATCATTTGAGACAAATTTTTTGCAAGATATTTACATTAATGAGTGAATTAATAAACCTAATCTTGTAGCCTTCAACTATTCATCTTATTTAAAATGTGTTCTAGAATAACTTTTGATACTATTCTCTAAAAGCTCCTTTACTATTTGAAAATAATAAAAGTTTCTATCAATTTGTATTTCTGACTTTAATTATTTCTTTATTTTTAAAGCTGGGAATGCAAACCAAGACCATGCTAAGCAATCACTTTCTACGAAACTATATTCTCAACCTCTGATTAATGATTTAGTACATGTCATATGATATAGTGGTCAGAGACATTAGGTGGCCCCTGTTTTAAAGAACATGGTCAGAAGAATGCTTAATTCATATTGAGATTGCTATTTTAACCTAGTCTCATATATGACTTTGAGGTGGCTAGCTGCCTACTGGTAGCCAGCACAATTGATTAGTAACTGGTGGCTATTAATACTTTTCTACAATTATATCAGTCAACACATTGAAATGGCTAGGGATTCCTCCAGGACTGGAGGTCCCATTTGACCCAGCTATTCCACTGCTGGGTATCTTCCCAGAAGAATTAAAAACATAATACTACAGCGCTATATGTGCACCCATGTTTATAGCAGCAGAATTTGTAATAGCTACATCTTGGAAACAATACAAATGCCCATCAACCGAGGAATGGATAAAAAAGATGTGGTCTTTTTATACAGTGGAGTACTACTCAGCCGTAAATAACCAGCCATAAAGAAGGATCAACTGGAAACTTTTATAGGTTAATGGATACAACTTGAGACCATACTGATAAGTGAAATACACCAGATGCACATGTGTAAACATTGTATAGTCTCCCTAGTGTGAGAAGCTGAAAGAGTAAATAAGACATAAAATGTACAATAGATATTGTAAAATTGGAAGAAACT